TCAGTTGACCCGGCCGGCCAGACCCTTTATACTACTGATGCCATTTTCCTCCCTTCTGGTCTTCAGCCCCTCCCTTTTCCCAGGCAGGCCTTCTCACCTGTCACTTCCAGAGTATGGCCTGGCACCAATTGTATTTGGATAGGAGAAAAATGCAGTAGGCCAGACCAGGATTTGAACCCGGGCCTCATGAATCTCCAGTAAGGTGCTTTACGAAATGAGTTATCTGGCCACTGACAATAGAACCCATCTGACTGCCACACATGCATTGTTTTCAAAAAGATTTATAAGCTCAATATTATCACTGCACCAAGGTGCAATGTTTTGTACATGCTGAAAAAATAATACTGAGTATATTTAAGAAAAGAGTGTGATAAAATAGCTAAATCAAACTACTCTGAATAGCTTAATAAGGCTGTATAGCTAAATAAATCAAGAGTTTGTGCCAGACCTATTGTATTCATATCAGTCTCTTTAATACTCTGATAGGAGAGGAGAAAGATGCAGTAGACCAGACCAAGGTTCAAACCAAGTCTTGAATAGAAAATCTCCAGTGGAGATGCAATTTGATGCATGATTTTTTATATGCATTGTTATCAGATATTCAGAACAGTATAAAGTTTAAAACTTTCACAGCAGCTAATTTTGACTTTCTTAGTTGCTGAAAAATTGCACAGCATGATTTAAGAAAAAGTTTGATTGTTAAACAGGCTTTTCTGAAAAGCTTAGTTGAGCTTTATAGCTAATTCAAGAGATTAAGCCTGACCTGTAGAAGTCACTATTTTTATATGTGTAATTAACTTACAACTTTGATAATGGTAACACTACTTAAGTTAATTGTTTAATCATTGTTAAAAGTGAAATATTTCTTTCAGATGGCTGGTAGAGGAAGAGGCAGAGGAAAAAATGTTTCTTTCAATGTAGAAGCTTTAGGATTTGGGAGAGGGGAAGCCCTACCAGGCCCCATCTCTCAGCCGCCACCACTGTTTCCAGTAATACAATTTTCATTTTTTTAATTTTTTTCTTACATAGATCTATCATCATGAATTCATGATCATGTCTATATTTGTTTCTAATATTTATCAAAATGGAAGATAACATGTAAAAGTTAATTAATTAAATTGTGAACAAAATGATTGAGATGGAAATAGTCTCAAAGTATACATGTACAATTGACAGTGCCCATAATGTGTACTGATCGTTTTTATAATAATAGATGTATAGTTTTACAAAAGATGATCCTTAAAAATGCTTCTTATTACATTAGACTGCTGAGTTCAAGCCAATTCCATTTGAACAAAGTGAAGAGTTTGACTATATGTTGGCTTTGAAGCAGGAGTTTCTTGGAAACATTCGCAAATCTCCATTTTACCTTCAAGCAGCAAACAAGAAGAAGGATATTGAGAGATACTCGGATAAATACCAGGTTATAACAGAAGTCAATGGAAAATGGAAGCCAGGTATCAACAAAAGGTTTTATTGAACAAATAAGAAAACATATTGGTCTGCATATTAATTTTGACATTGTATTCTATTAATATTTAGCCACAAAGAAAACTGGAAAACAAAATTTCAGGAATTTATGAAACAATTGAACTGAAGATTTACTCTTCTGAAGGAACAGATATTTGACTGTAAAATTTGAATGTGTACTGATTTGGACAAATTCACAATTTTCAGATTGGAGAAGACTTCCAGCTGAACTAAAACCAAAATTGCCAAGGAAAACAAAGTCCAAAATTAAACCAACAGTAAAGGTGAAATCAAAGTCCAAACCCAGCACAGTAGATGTATCCAAGACATTAGAGGTAAGCAAGAAAGATGCATGTATAAGGAATTAAATATCTGATACAGATATATTACTCACATGACAGAGTTATGTATTAACTGTGACTTACACAAGGTCACTGTTGCATGAGAATTACCCTTATTTTTAAGTCATCTGAGCCACTCAGGTTACCTATTGTTTCTATCCATTGGCATGTCATGATTCAATTTTTTTGAACATTTTCAGCTTCCTCTCTGGAACAAATAAACCAATTTCAACAAATTTATAGAGAATCTTTGGGCAGAGTTGGACAAAAACTTTGAATTTCATCACCCCCCTCCCCCCCCCCCCCTTGGGCCTGAGGGATGGGGCCAAAACCATAAAAATTAATTCAAATTTTGTAAAATCTTTTTCTCTGCTTATGGACATCAAGCAGTCAAAATGTTGCCATGGTTTTAACATGCAATGAGTCCTTTATCTAAATTGTAAAATTCATGGCCCCAGGGGTCCAGGAGGTAGAGTAGAGCTTTCTTGATAATCAAGGTGAATTCCTTGAAAATCCTCTCCTCTGCTCCTGGGTATTTTTTAAACAAACTAAGGTCAAGGTTATGATAAGCATGGATGGCTCTTTCAAAATTTTGAAATTCATGATTGCCCTGTGTATGGAGGTTATGTGAAAGATGGGAGGCTCTATTGAAAGTGTAATATCTTTGAAAATCTTCTATTTGACTCAGGAGCTTGAGAAAACTGAGGTGGAAGAGAAAGAAGAAGAGGAGGAGGAAGAAGAAGGAGGAGGGAAGAAGGAGGAAGGCACCGTGGAGGAGGAGGATGAGGAGGTTTATGATGAGGAAGATATTGAGGAGGTAGGATTATAACTCACAAGGTCATTTATTAAAATTCTTATAAAACAATGTTGAATGTTTCTGTTTTTTTCAGTAACAACATTTTTAATGTATTTCTATTTTTAAACTATAAGAATGCTGTTGCTAGGTTTTATTAGATTGAAACTTCAATGTTATATCATACAACATATTATACAAGTAAACCAATATCTCTATCTTACGATATGTTTATTAATAAATATACTTTGCACTGATAGGTTTTATTTATCAAACTGGCATGGCATTGGATACACAAAATTTCCATCTTCAGTAGTCTGATTTTTTCTGTTACAGGAGACAGACTACATTCTGTCATACTTTGACAATGGTGAGGAGTATGGCAATGATGATGATGATGCAGATGAAGGCCCAGTCTACTGAGGGAAGCTAGATTTCTCAACTGTTCATCGAGAGGAAAGGGAGATAGAATTTACTAAGCAGAAAGGGATAAAACTCTACAATTTACTGAGCGGAAAGAGAAAAAACTCTACTATTTACTAAGAGAAAAGGGATAAAACTCTACAGTCTACCAAGAGGAAAGGGAAGAAACTCTTGAGTTTATTGAAGGGAAAGGGAGGAAACTATTCAGCTCAGTGAGGAGAGAGGACATAGAGAGGAAAATATTTACCTGGTGCTAAACTTCTCTTGACTTAATGACATGGAAAAAGAATATTTTATGAATAACAGTTATATGCTTTTAAATCGTTAAACAAAATGTCCTGCCCAGTGATGCTGCATTATTGAGATGCTTTATTCATAATAGACATTGTTAAGTGCATTGGTAGAACAACACTTCATATCATGAAATAAACTGCTTATTAAAAGTGTTAGTGAACAATAAAATTGTTATAAAATCTAATGTTTTCCATGTCTCTTTTAGTTTGGAAAAGCTATGAGGCAAGTGTTTGATTTTCAGTTACAATTAACTGTAGATGCACTAATATTCCTGGGGATAAAAGTTCATTGATTTGACAGTTAAAATAGTTTCATTGGCATTTAATTTTTGTGTTTTGAAAGTAACCCTATTCAATATATACCTGTAGTCACTTCAAATTTTGTGTTGAATTTAATTTTGTTGATATTAATTGTTAACAACAAAATTTAATCCCCAATGGACATCTGTGCTTTTGCAGTATAATTTTTCCCATCCTTCTGCTGTAAATTGTATTTTTCAGGCAGTATTTTTGCAATAGAATTGGTAGATATATACATGTGAGGGTTGTTAAGAAAGTTCGTTCCGGGATGAAATATTTTCAAAAAATTCAAAGTACTGCTTAGCTAAAGAGAGGAATTTTCAAGTCTGACAAAATCACAAGAATGTGCTTTAGATTTATAGCAATTCATTTCTAGCAGGGAATTATGGGATTTTTCTTCCAAATGGAAATATAAATGACATCTTTAAAGCACCCAAATGAAAGAAATGCTGGTCATTTTGAGTGAAAATAAAGAATATTAATTTACTTTTGTTTCTTCCTAGCTTATCTTGCATCAGACAAGATGATGAGCGTAGGTATAAGAACGATATATCGCTTTTCAACAGAATAGGTTTGTCATTTTGAAGATTTTCACAGATTTGATCATTTTTGCTAAGTATTTGGAAGGATGTTTTGACCTGTGTGCTTAATATTTGTCACAAATCACTAATTGTTCTGAACAGACATCACCTGTTTTAATGCCTACTCTACCCGTATTGATTCAACAAAAGACAGTTAAAACCTTATCAGTAGCAAGAATAGACCTGTAAACATGAAATATCACAAATTGTAAATATCTTCTTGTCGTATTTCTTTTTGAAAATAAAATAAAAATTTGGAATGAACTTTCTTAACACCCTTTAGTTAGAATTTGATGCACTGTTGTGCTGGAGTTTCAGATCAAGTTTCTGTGTTATGGTCTTCAGAAAATTTATTTCTAACTTAAGAATGACTAAAAAGTGAAAACCCTATAAATTTTATTTCTATGTTGCATTGGATTGCCAGTGGTGGATTGTAAATTTAACTTGAACTTGGCACTTCGGTCCTTTAAGCAGTGAGGAATCATTTTTTGTGCCAGTTCCTACTGCAACATGGGACCTGTGTCTGAAGGACCAGCCTCCTGGTCTCTGATGGAATTTTGAACCAGTGATGTAGGGATCAATTCCATACTTTGCAACACTAAAACGTTCAGACCACTGCCCTGTATAGGCAACTTGCAAAGAGTGAAACATTTATACAGCAGTCACAAAAAAAACCCAGATTTTGAATCTTAAATAAAAATTATACCATACAACACATCATATGATCAGCTTTTCCCTCATCTGTGCACTTCCTTGGGTGAATATTGGTATATATTTGTGGGAAGAAAAACTATAGAAGTAGATATGTTCACAACAATTTATTGTGAAGTAAAAACATACACATTCATATAAATATATTGCTTGCAAATTTTACTTCACATTTAAAGACAAAAATCAAGATTTTTTTTCATTAATACTATCTGATCATTAAAACTTCCATCCCCAAACAACATATCAAGTGCTGCCTGAAGGTCCCCTCCTGTGGCCTGTAAAGCTCGCCTAGCTAAAGCCTCATCTGTGATTCCCATGTCTCTCAGCTGCTGTAGCTGTGTCTGTAGAATGGGGCCCTAAATAAAACAGAATATAATAAGTTGAGGAAATTGTTTTGTTGTAATAGGTGCTCTCACAAATGTGATTTATTATTTGTCTGAATGTAATGCTTTTAGTTTACCTCATTGGTTGACTCCTGGGCTTGTCTGATGGCTTGTTGGAAGAAATCTGCTGTTATTGCACCAGGTAAGATGTTAGGCAATGGCTACAATAAACAAATAACTGAGTTTTCATTATCTAATTTAAAAAAAAAAACAAAACTTTTTATGCAGTCAAAAATTTTCCATGGAGATTTTACCCCAGTATACTTGAGGTACAGTTAAGGAATATAGTAGTCATCTATGAAATCCACACAATTTTCTACCAATGAATATTATGATTCCTTGATCCCATGGAAAAAAAGTATATTTACAGTACAAAATATTGGTTATACATGTATTACGAAATTTATTCTCATCACATTTGTTGGATTTCAGACCATTTTTACACTGTAAGATGTTTGATAAAATCACATATTTCACTCTTCAATCTTATTTTTCATTGATATACATTTAGAGAGTATTTTAACATATACAAGTTCTATCAATTCTTTCTTTATCTCATTGCTCGGCTCTGATTGACCTACTTGACTGGTGGCTCCCCCTGGTGAGACCCCTGTGGCTGAGGCTAAGGCCGCTGCTAACTGTGAGGCTGTGATTCCACCAGACTAAAAAAATTAGTATTAATTAAAGAATGGCTGTTGAATTTATAAATATTCAATGATATTTTGATGGAAAGCAGATACATGTACATAGTACATACACTGGGACCAGGTCTGTTAGCTATTGAGTCATCTTCATCATCAGACATTTGATCCAGGTAGAATGACCCTGCAATCAAAAGTATACACTTGATTAGTTTCATAAATCAATAAAGTATGATATACTTTAGACAGAACTAATAACAAGCTGATGCTTAAACAATTTTTAAAGTTCATATTGATTTGTTACTTTTTTTTCAGTCAATGCCTTATCTGATGTGTTTTTATGCCCTGTTAATCAAAGAATCGTTTGGCCTTTTGAAAGGTGGGTGCCAGGAATTTCATACATCACAAGTGTATTTCTTGTGACAAGACCTTCCTTTGGGTACCAACATTTTTTATTCATGATTGTGACTTTGAGATTCAGCTAAATTTGAAGAAACTTAAACCTTGCTTTTATACAAAGTTGCTGCTAGGAGTTACCTATTTCACTACTGCAATCTTGGGACAAGACCTTTCCTTTGATTCCATTATATTTTTTTTACCTCAGGACATTGATCTTTAAGTATGAACTACATTTTGAAAACAGGGCACGGTGGGCATCAGTGTTTCATAAACACATCTACCTACCTAACAGCTACCTACCCCAGGGGATGGCAAATCCCACTGCCTGATGCCCAGGGCTTATCAACCACTT